ATCTGCATCTTCCAAAACGCGTAGTTCGTGCCATTGAATTTTTCGATCTTAACTTTATCTTCTGCCATTGTGTAAACCCTTGACCTCTTAACCTAGAGCTCTGATACCAGTTGTTGGGATTTCTCACGATTTAAATCCACTAACAAACACACACAATCGAAGAACAAATCAAGAATATAAAGCAATAAGAAACAAGAAAGAACAAGACACAGATTTTACGTGGTTCGGCAATTTGCCTACGTCCACGAAGCTGCAGGGATTTCACTATTGAGAGAGTTGAATACAGAGAGCGGCTGTATATCCACGATTAACCCTAATCACCAAAACAACAGGGTTTATATGTCCTACGCACTGGGCTGTATAACGGGCCCAAAACAGGGTTTATATGTCCTATCGGCCCAAGCCTTCGCTCCATGGACTAAGCCTCAGAAAATTTTCCATTAAAAATCACACAACATTATTTCGGGTCGGGTCATCATCCGGATCACATATACAAACTAGACTCCATAAAAAAAACCAACAATAAGAGGATTTGCCATAAGATTTCTGGCACCAAAAATCCATCAAACTCATTCAAACCAAAATAATTGCAACAAGTAATATTTGAGCTACTATTCCATTTATTGACTCATCTGACCAAATGAAGATGCTCTACAATGACCTGGAAACTCTGTGTCTCGCACTGCCGAACTTCTTGACTCATTCTTCATTGATGATTGATAAGAGTTTATATTATGAGTACTAGATGCATCAGGTACCTTTTAATATTGGAAATACTTAATATTCATGGATAAAAATAATACAATAGCTCTTCTAACTCAAAATATATCTCTGAAGTTTTTATTACCTTTTCAATCTGAAGTGGATCTGTGTTTTTGTGAGCTGGTTCGAGAATAGGCATACCTATTGCACGCATTTGAACAAGAAAAACCTCAAACTGTCTTTGTTGAGCCTCAAACTTAGCTTCCTTTTGACTCATTTGCTTCTCCATTTGTGTATGCTAAGCCTCCATCTCTGCCTTATGTCTACTCAATAGTTCATCTAGTTGGGACTGCATTGCTTGCATCTATTCTGAATTTTTATGTCCAAACACATCTCTCAGAGATGGTCCAAAATCATATATTCTAACACATCCAGGTTGCTCCGGTCTCATGACTTGAGTGAAAACTTCTTCTACTGCAAATGAAGATTGCATAAAAGACTGGCAATTGTGACACAAGTTCATCCATGTTTGACTGCAGCAAAAAAAAAATTTGAAATAAATATAAAACTTAGGTGAAATAAGAATGGATAAATAGTGAACATCTTTCTTGCCAATATCACATACCAAGGCTTGTGCAACAACATCAGTAACTGGTCGACCATATTTCTTTGAATGTACAACCTTAAAAAATTGAATACGACTCATTTTCTTCCCATTATTCTTTTTATTTTCCTACAGTTAAAATAGACACAATAAATAAACTTGAATAAAAATCTTTTATATAATAAATTTATTTTCTAACAAACTCCTTCCATAACACATGCAAAGCTTACTCCGAATGAATTTGTTCCTCTCACTTTTTTCCTATTACATGCCAAAAGCAATTATCATAATAATTTGAAGAAAAAGAGCAATGACTTCTTTTATAATTGACAAGATTTACACTTGCATATTTGTACATGTGCCTTCGGAGTGCTCCAATAATAAACCAAGGCCCGCCAATGTGATTCCTCCACTCGGTCAGGCTGGTGAGCTAATCTTTGTACATCAATTCTATAGGGATAATAAGCTTGTTTCTTAATCTCACACTTCAAGTCTTTCCACTTCCTCCCTATAGACTTCATTAGATATCATTTCATCCACTCTTTTACATTAGTGCTTGCCTACAATTCCATTAAAAGACCACTAATAACATGCAAAAGCAATATACAATCACTCACTAACTATAAAATAAATTCAAAAAATTTCGACCTTTATTTCATCCCATATTATTTCTTTACACTCTTTGGAAACAACACTCCACTTGTGCCAATTTATGGGTGCCATGGTCCCATTTCGAGCTAGCATGCCTAAACGAGATTGAAGTGGAGAAAATTTTTCACCAATTGGTTGCTTTAATTCATTTTCCTCAATGTGTAGCACTGCCATCATTCGTCAAGGTAGAACCTCTAATTCATCTCTGTATATCCGAGGAATTGGAACCTACACTTAAAAAAAAATTGTTGAGTGATTACAATATCATGTTTAGTGATAATTATTATTCCTCCATTACTAAAATATACCATCGTCATTGAGTGACGTATTTCCATCATTGTCTAGTGATTGGCCACAAGATGGATGGTTGGTACTAAAACCTGAATTATAAATACTTAAATTGCTAAAAATATAATTGTATGCATAATATCAAATTGTGAGAAAAACATAATCTACAACCAAATAATGTACCT